CCTATATTTCCATTTTTCTCTATGCCTTACTTCTCCCTAAACTTACTCTTTTTCTTCCATGGGACCACCAACCTTCCAGCCTTCAATAACTTCCCAGGCCCACTGCACCCTTCTCTGTCAGTATTTTTCTACCTTCCAAAGTTAACTAGCTTAAAATTATTTTCTACACTTGAATCACTTGTCCTATCACATGGTTATTCCCAGTTAGGTCCTCTGTTCACATGTATTACAAAAGGAAGCCTGAGGAAGCCAGATAACTGCTGACTGGATCCAATACAAATTTCTCTTATCTTACCTCAATTTGTCCTTCACAATAGCTAAGAAGTTCTTTTATTTTTCTACAGTTGACATTCTAGCTCACCACAAAAGCTTTTACATACCCAAAGCCCTCCAACATTAGCCCCTACACCAACCCTCCCAGCTGAGGATCTTTTATGGTTCAGTTGTTTTTCCAGTCGTGTCCAATTCTTGGTGACCTCATTTGGGGTTTTTTTTGGCAAAGATAATGGAATGGTTTGCCATTTCTTTCTCCAGCTCATTTTACAGATAAGGAAAGTAAACTGAGGAAAATAAGGTTAAATTACTTGCCCAGAGTCACACACCTAGTAAGTGTCTAAGGCAAGATTTGAACTCCGGAAGAAGACTTTCTGACTCCAGGCCCAGGACTCTCTCCACTGCACCACCTAGCTGGCCTGGATTTTATTAATACTTCTTCAAGAAAATTGAGGCTATTTGCCATGAATTCAATTTTCATAATCTCAGAACTACTGAACATTATCTTCCACCACGTATTCTTCCTTTATTCAAGACTCTGACAAATAGGAGGTCTATCTTTTTGCCAACGTCAATTCCTCTAAATGTGCACATCACTCCATACCCTATCATCTTCTCCAGCAGACTGACCCCTCTATAAAACCTTCTTTATACAATCTTCAATCTCTCCCATTTTACTGGTTTCTTTCCTGTAGCCTACAAATATGCCCATGACTCCCCCCGCATCCTGAAAAAATCCTCACCAAAGCCTACCTTTTCCTTAAGTTACTGTCCTATAGCAATAATATATAAAGTATCAGACTTGGATCTAGGAAGATGTGGGTTCAAATGTTGCCTTAGACACTGACTAGCTATGAGTCTAGGCAAGTCACTCACCTCTTTGTGCCTTGTTTTCTCAACTCTAAAATGAGAAGGCAGGCCTCTCTATGGCCTCTAAGGTCCCTTATAGCTCAAAACCACATATCTGGATTTTAGCAATTAATCAGTCAGCAAGCATGTATTAAGGGCTTACTATGTTTCAGACAATGTGCTAAACATATAAAGACAGACAAAAACATCCTCTGTCTTCAATCTCACATTCTCAAAGGGAAAAACAGTAAATAACTATATACACACAAAATGAAAATGGAGGGAAGGCAATAGAGTAGCCAGGAAGCCTAGGAAAGGTCTTCAGCAGAGGGTGAGACGGAAGCTTAATCTTCAATGAAACCATGGGAGCTAAGAAGTAACTGGGAGGAGAACACTGCAAGCACAGGGGGCAGCCTGCATCAAGGTATAGAGTAAGAGACAGAGAACTGGGTACAAGTAACAGCAGAAACGCTAGTATGGCCAGACTGTTGTAAAATTTACGTAGAGGAATAAGACTGAAAACGTAGTAAGGGGCCAGATTATGAAAGATTTTAAAAGTCAGAGGATTTTATATGTTATCCTGGAGGTAACAGAAAGCCACTGGAGTTTGCTGGGAAGAGGGTGTGGTATGGTCAGACCTGGGCTTCTAGAAAATTACCTTGGCACTGGAATGGAGGATAGACTGGAATGGGGAAAAACTGCAACAAGGAGAACATTTTTTTTTTTTTGGTGAGGGCAGTTGGGGTTAAGTGACTTGCCCAGAGTCACACAGCTAGTGAGTGTTATGTGTCTGAGGCTGGATTTGAATTCGGGTCCTCCTGACTTCAGGGCTGGTACTCTATCCACTGTGCCACCTAGCTGCCCCAGGAAAATAATTATAAAGCTAATGTAATAGCCCAAGTAAGAAAGAAGATAATGTATAAAAGAAATATGAAGAGAAATAATAAGATTGGATAACAGACTTATATATGGGTTAAGTGTGAATGAGCATTTGAGGATGAAAGCAAAGTTGGCAAGCCTGGATGACTGAGACGATGGTGGTGCTCTTGAAAGTAATACTCTCAAAATACAGTCAGAAGAGTTTAAGTTTTGAGGATAAAGAGTGCTTTCTGAAGATGTTTGGTTTGCATAGTGAACATCTAGTCTGAGGTACATCCAAAAGGCAGGTGAATGATGGGGGACCGAAACCCAGGCTAGAGACAAGGGCTGGACACACAGACTTGGAAGCCATCTATATAATATAGAGATGATAACTGGATCCAGGGGAGCTGATGAGATTACCAAGTAAGATAGAATGAAAAGAGAAAAGGACCCAGGACAGAACCGTGGGGGATATCTATAGTTGTAACAAATGAGCGACATTGAAGTTCTGAAGGCTGTTTTAGGTCTGAGAGGGCTACCTCCAAATTTAACCTCTAAAAGCAGGAGGAATTCTGAGACATTCTGAGGTCCAAGTTACTGCTATCCTGGTGTATGGTTGCTCTGAAGAAGATATCCAGGTCGTATCTATGCTATTGTAATGTAGCTAGGACAATACATGAAAGACTTCAGATTTTGTTGGCATGGCAATTCCTTCTTCACTAACTAACGAAGATAAAAATCCACCTCTAACTTTGAGACTCAAAGAGCTGCTTAAGGCTAAGAAACATTAATTGATTTGTCTGTGGTTACATAGGATGTATGTGATAGGGAAAAATTTGAAACAGGACTTCTTGACTCTTATGTACTACGCAACACAATCTCTTGACTACAGTTTACACAATCTTGGCTCCAGCCAATCTCTCCAAATAGATTTCTCATTACTTTTCCATATTCATTTTTAAGTTTGAGTCAAACTGGCTGACTTGATGTCCCTGTAGGCAACATTCCATCCTTTGTCTCTGGGCCTTTGAATAGGGCTCTCCCTTCTGCCTGCATTATAAAACACTCCTCACTCTGTGCCAAGTAGAATTATTAGGTTATTAAGCCTTCACTTAAGATCAACGTCTTATAATAGGTCTTTCCTGACCACCCTTCAACATTCCCAGTCTCTTCTCTGCCCCCAAATTTCTTTGTATCACCTGATCTGTGTATGCATTTTCCCCTTGAAAACTGTGAGCACCATTTCCAGGGCTTATTTCATTTGTCTTTGTATCTTTAGTGCCTAAGACAGTGGGCTGAACTTAGAAAGTACTTAATAAATGCCTCCTGAAAGACTGGAAACCTAGGTCATCAGTATCAAGTAGAGCATGGTTGTTGAACTACACCAGAATGAAGATGATATAGAAGGACTGAAATAGAGAGGATCTGAAGTGGGTCTAGAGATGTATTAGACTACAGGAATGATTTGAAGAGGATCTATTTAGATAGCCTAAACTTTAAATGGAGACATTAACTGTTTCAGTGGTATAAAATGGATATAAGGGATCTGGAGGAATTAAAGAGAAGGGCATCCTATTCTGCCACTTTCTATCCCTACTCATCTGCCCCTAAAGAAAGTTGTGAGAGAAGGTGAACCTTTCGTGAAAGGAGTATAAGTAAAGTATTATATTCAGAAACAGGATTCATTTAGAGTTAGGTGGTAGATGAAAAGAAAGAATATAAGATAAATAGGTACTTGGTTATAATCAAATGGAAATTAATGTATAACACAGCTGAAGAAGAAAACAGAAAGGAGAAGAAGGGGAGAATAGGCATGGAATAGAGAGACAGTGAGATAGGTATCAATATTCAGGCAGAGTTATTAGCAAGGGTAAGAGCTGTGTTTCTGCCTGCTGGGTGGGTATGAAAAATAGGTATGATAAAAGCACTCAAAAGGTTTAAGAGAACAGATGAAATGTGGTGAAGAATACAATAATTAGAAGAGTGGGAGAAATCAACCAAGGAAAAACTACATCCACTGAACAGAGAAGAAAAGCAGATACCGTCTTTCACCACATAACCATCGCCGCCGCATAATTGTCACACCGTTTTTCAGTCCAAAAAATTGCTTTATCATCACATAGTATAATTCTCTTCATCACATCGCTTAAAAAGTAAACAGAGCAGCAATGTATTCACCAGTGGTATATGGATATGCATTTATCTCTGGTGCACTGTAAGCCATGAGCCTAGAATTCTCAGCACACGCATGTTGTCAGTATATTTCTGAAAGCCGATTTGCGGTTTGTTTAGAATGCTATGGTACTAAGAGTACTGTCACTCAACCCAATGAAGAGCCATAGGCACAAGGTGAGCTGGCGAAGCTGCCATGAGTAAGTCATGTGATATGGTAAGACTTGCATCTTCCCAATTTCCTAATTATATTCATGAGTATTGCATGCATCTTAATCTTGTACCAAATACAGTTTAATAATAAATGATTTTTAAGTAATACCAGCACAGTTAAAAAAAAAAGAAGCTTCATATAACGGTTGCACCCCACTTTCTTGCAAAAAAAATTGGCATAGAATCTACGATGATTATGCTGTGAAATACAGTAAATACACAAACACTTCATTCATAGTTACAATCTAAAATCTTTGTGGTAGATAATCACACAAAGGCAAAGTTTTATTAATATTAAAAGACAAGACTGGAGTTTAGTCAAACCAATCAAATAAAAATTTATCGTCCAATGATTATCAATTCAGACAGAGTTCTTGCTAGAAGTATGGTGTTGTTAGGATTCATAAGAATATGACATTACCCGTGGTTATACATAATTTATAGTTTAGTAGAATACATAAGACAAAAAAAATAACTATATTGCAAGGCAGCATATAAAAGTATAATAAGAGACTTAATGCGGAGCTATGGTACTACAAAGTAAGGATGTATTACATGTAGCTAAGTCTCAGAGGAGGAACTGGAAAGGCACATATAAGAAAATACACATGCACTAATATAGAGATACCCACTGTTAGTCCAGGCCAGAGTTTTCTGAGACTCTTGTATAATGAAGCCTCAGCAAACCTCAACCATGGTTGGGTTCCCAAGTAGTCTGGCCCCTGCAGAGGCGGGGGTGGGGAAGGGAGGAAGAGGGAAAAGGAAGAAGGGAAATGAGAAGATGTCAGCGAATCTCAGACTTTACAATTATTCATTTTACAAAAGAACTCATTATATAGTTCCTTTAACTAGTAAAGTAATCTTTTTTTTTAAAAGGATTTCACTCACACAAATACTTTGAAGAATACAGTGACTGCAAACAAAACACATTAATAATTAATCTAACCCTTTAAGATTTGTGAAATCTCCTAATAGGCACCATCTCATATGACCCTCACAACAACCCTGTGAGATAAGTGTTAAAAGAATTTTCATTTTACAGATGAGAAAAATGAGGCTTAACAAGATTTTGACTTGCCTATGATAATACAGTCCTTATAGTATTTAAGTATCAGAGACCATAATATACCTAAGGTCTCTACTAACTACAAAGCCATCACTCTTTCCAATATACCACACTGCTTCTCAGTTAAAAAGCTAATGTAAATAACGAAATCATTCCTTAATTTTTAGTCCCAAGAGAGAAGAAGAGTATCACTGGCATTCCAAGAGCAGATGATCCTCTTATCAATTTTACTTAGCTTTAACATTATTTCTTAAATTGGACACCAAAGATGAGGCTCAGCGGTAAAAACTGTTCTGCTTCCTCTTCTTATAAAGCAATTAAATAAGCAGAGTTGACAGCACGATATTCTTCTTTGTGGCTAAACAAAGATTGACTGTGCCATAAATATTACAAAAAAGAAAATCATAATCACAAGAACCACACAGAATTCTTCTGGTACACTGTCATTGTACAAGGACAAAGTTTTATTACTCTTAGAAGGCACTGTAGCTAGAGTTCAGTCATCATAAAAACACAATCATTCTAAGAATGTCAGCTTGGTATTTATAAACACAATAGAATAAAACAAACAACAGAAGATTCTAATATATGCAATTGCATTATATATATACATATTTTGGGGTATATACATTAAACAATTACATAATTGGACACCACCCCCCTGAAGTGACATATTAGATAAGCCCTATTTTTCTCTGTAAGTGGGATGATAATAATATCAAGTAGCTATAAAAAATTTAGGTTTGCAACGTGCTTTACAAGTTTACTCATTTCATCCTCACAACAACCCTCTGAAATAGAAATTATTATTATTCCCATTTTACAGATGAAATGGAACACTGGACTGAGGGCTGGACTTGGAGCTTAGAGGAAGACCCGAGCTCAAATGTGACCTCGGATACTTAATAATTGTATGACCCTGGGACACAATGTGTCAATCAAATATAGGTCAAGGCCAAAAGGTAAGTATTTTAAATGCAGAATATGGTACGTAAGTTGACTGAATTTACAGATTCTTTCAAAAATTAAATGTGACAGCTCAAAGTTAGAAGACTCAAAGGAAAATTTTGATATATGGGTGGAATTCTATCACGCACCAAATTACAGGATTAAAAATTATCTTTCAAGTTCTTACCTTGTTGGCTCTGAGTTGCTTGTAGATGTCTGTCTGTTGCCTTATTCGATACTCCAAGTCAGAGACCTGAGCCTGAAGCCATGTCCATCGACATATAATTGCTGCCCTTTCCAGTGCCCACTGCCACTCTGCTTTAGGGTTCCTGGAAAAAAGAGATCACAACACAACTTTAAACTTAATGATAAACTACTTTAATTTCTAGACCTACAATTTTTATACCATTTTCATTTCCTGTTATATTTCCCCTAAGGCCATCCTTTCTAAAACACACCCACCCACACATCAATCCAAAACAGCAACAAAGCCTGACATTGTGTGCCACACTCACAGGCCTCCATTTCTACAAAGAAAAATAGTACATTTTCACATCTTTTCTTCATACCAAGCTTAGTCATCACAATTATAAAGTGCTCATTAAAATTTTTTTCCTTTGCACTTCTGTTGTTGCAGTTAAGTATTTCGTTTTCCTGGTTTTGCTTACTTTACTTTGCAGCAGTTCATGTAAGTATTCCTATCCTTTTTACTATTAATCATATTCATTATTTCTTACAGCACATTAATATCCCAATATTAATATAAGTTAGCCTTTCCTAACTGATGGGCATCTACTTAGTTTCTATTTCTTTGTTTCAACAAAAAATTTTGCGACTAACTGATGTAGAGACTTTTTTGTTGTCACCAATTTTCTTGGGGTATAATGCCTGACAGTGGAATCTTTGAGTAATTCCAAACAGTTGGACCAATTCACAGCTCTATCAAAAGTGCATTAGCATGTCATCCTCCTATAACCATTCTCACATTATTATTGTCACGTTTGCCAATTTGCTGAGTCGAAGGTGAAACCTCAGTTTTTCTAATTTATATTTCTTTTTATTAGTGATTTGGAATATTCTTTAATATAGTTGTTAATACTTTGCAATTCTTTTAAGAATTGTTTATGTTCTTTGGCCACTTACTCACTGAGGAATGGCTTTTGTCCTTATATATTTATAGTAAACTATTTTAAACAGAAACGAAAAAAATCTACTAACTGCAGAATGCTATACATGTGATGAGTGGTCAGTAAATATTGGTCATTGAAGTTTTTAGTAAGAATTTAAGTATAAATGTATCTTCAATAGTTAATCCTTAATTCCATAAAGAAGGCCCATTTATCATTACTGATAGTCACCTTTTCGTTGCAAAACCATAAAGATGGATCCACATGGTCAAGGAAATAAACATCATTATCCTTGAAGTAAGTATAGTGATTCAAAAGATTAACTGAAAATCCTAAGACTTGGGTGCCAGCCTACTCCAAGTGAAAACAAGTTACTTAAAGCTTTACCAAGTCACTTAAGTTTTCTTTGGGCCCTGTGGTAGGTGGTTTAGGGAATACAAAAAATTTAATTAAACACAGATCCAGTAAACACAGACCTTGTCCTCAAGGAATTTCTGGCATAAAACTGTAGAAAGCTTTAGTTGTACAAATATATTCTGTTCACAAACATTTGTAATTATATTGAAGCATTTTTTCCTGTATGAATATAGGGAAGGTTTTTACTTTCTTCATAAGGAAAGCAATCTCCGTAATGGTTTTTATCTGTTCAGATAAAATTCTGAAGGTATAAAACACAGTAAGTGATTTTTAAAACCAGTGACAGTTCCTTTCTTTACCTGAATTTGTGTGATAATAATAATGCAAATTTTACACTGATTAGAATCAAAGAATTAAGAACTATCAGATATACCTACAATTAAAAAAAGAATATCTTCAGTGAAAATCTATGAATTATAGAATTTAGTGTTTCTAAGAACCTTGTAAATAATTTAGTAAAATCCTTTTATTTTACAGATGAAAAGGTGAGACCTGGCCAAAAGTGTACCAAAACCAAGACTGAATTCTGAATGACAAAAGATAATAAATGCTACAGGACTGGCTCAAAGTAGTGTATAAATAGTAAGATTTCATAGGAAGTGGTAAAATATGAACTAGATCTTGAAGGAATAAATAACTGAAAGGCACAAAAAGGGAGATCATAAACAAAGGCCCAGAGGCATTCAGAAAAAAGATTAGTTTAGCAGGTTTCATATATGGTAGTAAAAGCAGGTAAGACTCTTAGGTTGAATTCAGTCTGTGGAAGGCCCTGAATGCCAGGCTCAGAAATCGAGGTTTCATCCTATCTACAATCTCTACACAGATGAGTCGCTTACACAAAGATTAATATGCAATACTACACTAGGGAGATTGAAACAAAGAATATATTGGAAAGGTAAAGAAGGAGTGTCAACTTCAAGATTTCCAGCCAGGTAAAAGGATGAAATTTCCAGACAGAAAGGGGAAAGCAGGAGAAGATCTAGATTTATAGAAATGTTATTTTATATTTTAGCAAAAATGACCTACTTGCTTGTTGTCTTTGCACATGCTGTCCCCTATACCTCAAATGATCTCCCTTCCTCATCTGTTTCTTGGAACTTCTACTTTCCCTTCAAGGCTCAGTTAATGTCCTCTTCCATAAGAAGCCACTACCAATTGCTCAAGATGTTAGTACTATTCTTTCACCCAAAGTTATCTGACACTTGTTTATATTTGTTGACAGGCTGTTCACTCTAAAAGAATATACGCTTCCAGAAGGCAAGTATTATTTAACTTTTTTTCTGTGTACCTCAGTGCTTGATACATAGAAGGTACGTTAGTAAGCACATGTTGCCTTTAAATTAATTCATAAATTAGGCCTTTTAATATATGCTGAATGAAGTTATAGGAAGATATGTAAATGGAGATGTCCCACCAAGAACTAGAGGTAGAGCTAAAGCTTGCTACTGAGGTTAGGTCTGAAGTTGTAGAATAGTGGATCATATGTGTGTAAGAGGATATTAGATCTATAAACTTTATCAGTGTGGTCTTTTTCTAGATATTTTTGCTTTGCTGACTTTTAAAAAAATTAATATTTCATAAGCACCATAGTGATCAGGTTACCTATTTGTTGTCTCTCCTCACACGATAATATAGCTATCTCCTTTTCACAATCACACACAGTTACAAAATCCATGTAGTAAAATATTAATTTGTCAGGTAAGAGTTATAAGACCAACAAAACTTGAGTCAAGAATTCCCAAATTTGAATCCTACCTAAATTTAAACCCTAACTTTTACCATTTGTATTGAACTTTTTTGTTGTTTAGTCATTTCAGTCGTGTCCGACTCTTCATGACCCCAATTTCGAATTTTCTTAGCAGAGATACACTGGAGTGGTTTGCCATTTCCTTCTCCAGATCATTTTATACATGAGGAACTAAGGCAAACAATGTAAAGCGACTTGCTCAGGGTCACATAGCTATTAAACGTCCGAGGCCAGATTTGAACTCATGAAGATGAGTCTTCCTGATTCCAAGCCCAGTGCTCTATCTACTGTGCCACCTACCTGACTTTTAGTCAGCTATATTAAAAAATACATAAGGTGGTATTGGAATGAATTCAAAATGAAAATGCTATAAAGTTACTGTTCACTTAAAAAGTAGCCTTCATTAAGCTAAATGAGGAAGTTGGGACAAAATTTACTATTTTCTAAGAGTTTAAATAAAGTGTAATTTTTGTGAAAATGTTTTCAGTATGGCAGCCTTTATTATGATAAAAGGAATAATAAAAAGTAAATAGGAAGAGGAAAGACAGAGTAAAATAGTAGATAGAGATCTTGCCTTAAGTCAGGATGACCTGGGTTGTAGGATCATACCTTAGGTTTTAAGTCATTCAAACTTTCAATATTCTCAGGAAACTCTCTAAGATTTTAAGCTAGAGAAGAATTGCAAATCTGTACTGGCCAAGGGAGTTTCCACACCTAGGAGTTCTCTACATCAGTGAAATCAAAGGTCCAGACCAGAATAAAAGGGAGGGAGGGAGAAGTAAGAGAGAACAGTGGATAATATACAAAGAATGAAATGATGAAAGACATAAAATCTATAAAGAAATCTGAACTGCTAAAAATCAGTGTGAAGGTTCATCTTAAAAATTGAGGAAAAGAATCAACATGTTAGAGACTCTAAGAACTTGAGCTAGAACAAATAACAAGAAAAATATGTGAACAAACTCTGGCAAAGATTAGGCAAAACTATCTCTATTTGTAGATGATATGTCTATTTACTTAGCAAACCCTAGAGAGTCAACTGAAAAATGAATACGGATAGCTTCAGTACAGTAGCAAGATATAACCTAAAGCCAGAAAAAAACAATGTTTCTGCATATAACAAATAGAACTGGGAAGAAGTGATAGAAAAAGAATTAGTATTTAAAATTTTAAAAGGTTCATTCAGTATCTGGAGCTGATGTACTAAGGTACACACACAGCACTCATATAACTAATAACTTATAAAACATATTTACGGAGGAGGAATGGAATGTATCTGTAATTACTCAGATTATTTTATGAACAGGTAATTACCAAAACCAAAAATGGGAAAAAAAGTTTATCAAAAGAGTAAACTAGACTTCACAGGAAATACATAGCACAGTATTTCTTTTTTTGGGGGTGGGGGCTAGGTAATGTGGTTAAGTGAGCGGCCCAGGGTCACACAGCTAATAAGTGTCAAGTGTCCAAAGCCAGATTTGAACTCAGGTCTTCCTGACTCCAGGGCTGGTGGTCTATTCAATGCACTGCTTAGCTGCCCCCATTGCATTTCTATACCTCAAACCATATTATAAAGCTAGTCATCAAAAATATTTAGTACTAGAAACAAAAAAAGAAAGTTGCTTAATGAAATACTAAATAAACAAGACCTGAAAACAAAAGTGTACAGAGCTCTGTATTCCATAAAATCCAAAAACACCAATCGCTAGGTAAAGAACTCATTATTGGACAAGAATTACTAGGCTAACTGGAAAGGAGTCTGGCAGAAATTAGGTTAGATTACATCTTTTTTGTTGACATTGAGTCTCAGTATCTTACCCAGACTCAAAGTGCAGCAGTCACTCACAGTATGATCCCACTACTAATCAGCACAAGAGCTTTGACCTGTTTTGTTTCTGCTGAGGACCAGTTAGTTCTCTCTTCCATGGCAGTCTAGTGGCATTTTGATAGTGTCATTTGATACTGGCACAGGACAGTGCAGATACTCAATTAGCTTAGCCCACTGCAGAACTCTTAAGTCAAGTGAGCCTCATTAATC